TCAGGCCTCCCTAACACCTTCGAGGTTCCCAGTCATGCACTCTCTTGCTATCACCCAGAAAATAGGGAAGGCTGTTGAATGCTGGCAGTCTGGTAGCATCTGGGAGGTGGGGCATAGTCCTGCACAATGAGACCTCCAGAGTGCTAGAGCAAACCTGCTTTGGTACATATATGTGCAGCTTCCAGTAGGTAGATGCTGGATCAGGAAGGGATCTAGAATTTTGTGCTTAGACTAGAGTTTGGAAGCTGGTGGAGATGGCTAGTAAAGTAAAGTATTTGACCTCAATTGCAAGCTATATTTGAAGGGTCAGGAGATAGCTCAGCAGTCTCCCGGCACTGCATGTTCCCCAGCAGGGTGACCTTGGTGGTCCTTGGTGCCACAGGGCCCACACTCTTGGATGGCATTAAAGCACCCAACCTGATTGGCACAGTATTGCTGAGAGTGACACATGTTCCTCAAACACTGCTTGAGAGATAGCACAGTAGGTAGGGCATTTGCCTTGCATGTGCCAATATGGCCAACCTAAGTTCGATTCCTCCACCCCTCTCGGGGAGCCCGGCAAGCTACCGAAAGTATCTCACCTGCACGGCAAAGCCTGGCAAGCTACCTGTGATGTATTGCATATGCCAAACAGTAACAACAAGTCTCAGAATGGAGACGTTACTGGGTCCACTTGAGCAAAATCAATGAACAATGGGAGGACAATGAACATATATATTGGAGACTAAGATATAGTTAAATGATAGAGCAATTGCCTTGTATGTGTGAGGACATGGGTTCCACCTGCAAAATATCTCTGTGTGTATGTGTATGTATATAAATTAAGCAAACTCTATGGATCACTCGATGATAATTTTCCTATTATTAATATAATTCTGTAGCTAAATAAAAGGTTATCAAGAACTTGGTTGAAAGGATATTTCTGTCATTTTTGTTTGTTGGCTTGCAGTTTCCTATAAATTTGATTATTTCAAAGTAAAAGTCAAAACAAATATATTTAAATTTGACCAAAAAGACCACAAAAACCTCTATCCCCTATAGTTTAAAGCTGCTGGCCGACTATCTGTCTTTGAAGTGTGGACCCTAGGCCTTTATTCTCTGACACTGATGGCAAGTGAATGATTAAGTTCACCAAAAATAAGAGGACCCCTAAGTCTTACATTTTCCTTTATGCTGCTAAGTACACAGAGTATTCTAGTATTGTTGACAGAAAAATTTATGGGTGGATTGCATCTTAAAATCAAAACATATTACCCCAAATCAATGTTGCTATGTGTGGCACAAAGAGCATAGGAAAAGTCAAATCAAACAAGAATATAGAAACCAAAAACCCAAAAAGTCCTCAACATTAAAATAGGTAAATTTTGGACATGAAAATATTCACTGAGGGCTGTAATTCGAGGTGCTTTCACAAGAGACAGGCTTTTAAAAAATTTTATTTATTTATTTATATTTTTAATTTATTTTTTATTGAGTCACCATGAGATACAAAGTTACAAGGCTGCTCATGATTGGGTTTCAGTCACACAATGTTCTAATACCCATCCCTCCACCAGTGTACATTTTCCACCATAAATGACCCTAGTTTTCCTCCTGCCACCCCTCTCCACCCCCACCCAGACTTTACGGCAGACAGTTTTCTTCTGTCTCTATCTCTATCTTTGTCTCTGTCTGTCTGCTGTCTCTCCTCTCTCTTTCTTTATCTCTCTCTCTCACACACACATACGCACACAAACACACACACACACACACTTTTTTTTTTATCACTATTTGAAGTGCCTTGGAAAATTGAGTGAATCCATTCATAAAATGGTATTGACCGTGGTGCTGAAACTACCATCTCTGCATGGCAGCACAGTGATTATGCAGCAGGCAGGCGAAGCCAGGCAAGGCCACATGAGTGCTCGGGCACCATATGACTTACAGTCATATGCCAGGAAGAGTATCCTCGAGGTGACTGCACAGAGTGACCTCACAGTCATGTCAGGGCTCATGCACGGAGAAAGGAGAAGGCGGAAAAGAAACAATCTTGTCCAAAGAGAATTTTGGGTGACACACAGCAAACATGAGTGCCTGGGCCCCAACACTTTCAAATGCTCTCACAAACTGTCCAGGTGAGATCAGTTTCATCTTACAAGTCCAGCTTCCAAATAGGGAATTTTTGTGGGAGCCATGGAACTTTGCAGATGGTATGTTCTGTGGCTGTGTCCCAGAAAGAAGCTTCTCTTTGGGGAAACAATATATATGCTCCATGACAGATGTTGTCTTTGGACTCTTTAACTCATGGCACCTCATAACAACAGGGAGAAGAAACTGACTTCCATGAAGGAAGGCAGCCAGCCAGGAATTGGCAAGGATGAGTGTGGGCTGCAGTCTGCTATCAGATCATTGATTCTGCAATCTGCAAAAACCCAAATAAAGAGAAAGAAATCCTTTCCCTTCCCATTAGGGATCCCTGGCAAAAGGGAAGCAGAGCAGAGTGCCCCTTCCTGATGCTGTTAGTAAACAGTGCCCCAACCTTAAACACTTTACTGGCTCATCTGGTAGGTAAAAACAAGAGAAAAAAAGAGTAACTGCTGCCATCACAATCTTTAAGATGGAACAGTCTATAGGTACTTCACTACCAAACTTCTGGTTATCCATCTACCAGCTGAGTAAGCAGAGAGGAAGCTACCAGGATATCTGAGAGTTTACCAGACTGCCAACATCCAAGGACTTAGGGGTTTTGCTTTCTAAGGCAATTCCAGGTGCAATGGGAAAAATTCCACATGCAATCAAGGAAAGTTTTGATTTTTTTTTGCAAGAATTAGAACCCAAGGGCCAGAAAGATAATACAGCAGGTAAGGCACTTCCCTTACCTGCAGCTGATCCCAAATCAATCTTCTGTACTGTATATAGTCTCCCAAATACTGCCAGGAGAGACCTCTGAGCACAGAACCAGGCATAAACCCTGAGCACTGGTAGATGTAGCCCCCAAACCAAAACAAGAGCCTGAGGATAATGTACACCTGGATATATTAGTAGGTGACCCTGGGTTAAGTCCATGAGCTTTAGCTGTTAATGGGATAAAAATCACAGTGTCTAACTTACAAGATTGTTATACAAGTTAAACCATTTAATTGCTGCCATAAATATTTAACGAGCTCCTACCCTACTCCAATCATACTCTGGGTGTTGAAAATACATCAATGAACAAAAAAGTGCAAGAGTCTCATCTTAGTACAGTTCACAGACCACAAATAGTATAAGAACATACACCATATGTTGGAAGGTAGTGTTAAGAAAGGAGAAAAAGGAGAACAGGGTGAAGTGCTGGGCATGTTAAAGGGGCAAGGATTGCAGTTCACACTATTAAAATGAGCTCTCAGTGGAAGGTGACTCCACAACATAAATCCAGAGAACAAGATAGCATTGGCCAACAAAGTGTCTGGGGAAGGGGCAACAAGTCAGATGCTAGTGGTATATGCCTTGGGTCCTAGGGCACTGCACCTAGGAAAGAGGCAGTGTGGCCAAAGGAATGTTATCAATTAGGGAACGGATGAAAAATAGGAGATAAAAACGGACGAGGAAGGCATATTGTTTGACTTTGTCAATCTCTGCAAGGGCACTAGTATTCATCACTGCAAGGGGAGCCACTGCAGGGTTCCGAGCAGAGGAAGGGTGATGTGATTTCTGTTAAAGAAAGATCACTCAGTGGAAAGTACATAGCCAGTGCCTGGGACATGAAAAGCAGGTGCTAATGTGCAGTCATTATTCTTACTTGTGCAGTAGACAGGCCACACCTTAACCTTTTGATGGCACAGGCTTAGATGAGTCACAGCCCTTAAAGGTCATTCTCACTGGCTGCAGGAATTATACATTCCTGATCACATGATCTCTGCTTGGATCTGGAATCAGACTGGAGCACCTCTGCCTCCTCTCTAGTCAGGTCAGTGTGCAGTGGGATAGTTCTTGCCACCTCATATATGACATGCAAATCCATGTCACACAGTGCAAGTCTGCCCTCTTGCTCTGGAAGTTGATGGCAACAGTGGGACCCCTTGAGGTCTAACAGTCATGCACAAAAAGCAATTTCTAAGGGAACTTGAGATTTCTCAAGGGAAATGTCTATTCAGTAGGAATGTAATGACAGAAGGAAGTTAGCAACTGCCTCCTTGTGGCTCCTGGCGTGGAACTGCAGAAAGAGGAGAAAGGTCCCAGCCTCTCCTAGCCAGAGACCTCACCAGGAACAGTGACCTGAGAGGATGGGAAATACTTCAGATCACACAGGAGAAAAGGGAGACCCAGGCACAGGAAGGGTGCTGGTGCCAGGCACTGTCGGGCTGCCCCCTGACAGGAAAGACAAAGTGGAGGAAAGGGCTGCCCCTCTACCCCTCTAAGGCTGTGACCCACACCAGGACAGGTAGGGGCAGAGTGTGGGTAGCTGCTTTCTGTTCCCTTTTCCTTAGTGTTGGGAAATCCTCTGAAGATACAGACTAGTGAGCAGGGACAGCAGATGTGAATCAACTGGATCTCCTCACCCCAACCTCTGGTCAGAGCGACCTGAGAGGCCAGGGGAGGGAGACGGGGCAGGGCGATAGGCAGGGACTGAGATTAAGTCACTGAAAAGGGGCACAAGAAGCAAGGCAACCCTCACCCAGGTGTGGGCACTGGCGCCACTAAGCTTGTGTGTCCCTCTGAGGCAGGAGTTCATCCTTTCTCCCCGGATTCCTCTTTCTGGCTGAACGGAACACATTTCACAGGAGACCGGGTAAGGGGCGGCCGGATGAAGGATATAGCAAAGGGGGAACGAGTTAGCCGACCTTGGCAGGTTGCTGCCTCAGGATTCCCTCTTTGCGCCCAGTAAAGCAGAGACCGGGATGGGATTGGAGAAGAACCTACGGGGACGACTCAGGGGCTACCGATCAAGGTGCAAGAACTCCACCCCCGCCGCCTGGAAACCTCCTGGGCCCTGAGTCGTGCCGGGCGCTCCCCACCCCACCCCACCCCACCCCCGCCGCCTCTGCCGTCACTCACGGCCGCTGCTCGCTGGCTTGCTCCTTCACTCTCCGCGCCACAGGCACCTGCTCTGCCGGCGCTCTGCGCTCACTCCTCGCTCGCGTACTGCAGACTCCCCGGCGTCGCCTCGGTCACCCGGCCTGGTCCCGGTCCCCGCACAGCAGCTCCGCCCTTCTCCCCAGCCCCGGGTGCCCACTCCTCCGAGATGGCCTGGGCCTGGGACAAAGAACCGTGTAGTTCTTTGCCCAAATCGGGGTAAGGAGTTGAGTGAGGGCGGGGATCGGGGAGGAGGGAGGGAGGGGGGGATGCTGCGGAGAGGTCCGCTGGCCACGCGGGGTGCAGGGACTAGCGGCGTCTCGGGCGATCACGATTGGGAAGAAGCCAGGGAGAGTTTGGATGGGAGGAGGATCTCCCCCGCCCCAGGCAAACCGGGTACGGGGCGGGGCTATGCCCCGACTGCTGAGACAGTGGTCCCTCCAGGAGACCCCCCGCGGGAGCCGGGGACGCGCTCCGGGGTGGGGCGGTGCGGGCTTTGGAACCCGAGGGGAGGGCGGTGGGGGGGGGGAGTGTGATGCAGCGGTGGAGGCGGCTCGGCGCCCGGCCACTGACCGCCCCCCTCCTTCTCGCCTTCCCTCCCGTTCCCTCCCCCTCCCCGTCTCTCTCCGGCTCTGGGTCCACCACGCCGGACCCGCTCTCCCCGTGCTGCGCTGGGTCGGACGCCAGGTCTGCGCGCCGCGCTTGAGCGCCCACTCGCCCTGCGGAAAGAGCTGCCTAGGGACCCGCAGGGGCGGGGCGGGGGCGGCGGAGGTGGCAGTTGGGAGCCAAAAAAAAGAAAAAGAAAAAGAAAAAAAAAAACCCTAAAGGGAACGGAAAACGGAAGTAAGCGGCTCGGAGACGCGCACTCCCTGGACCAGGGATGGGTCGCGGCGTGGCCCAGCCCCTGCCGGACCCGCCACGCAGAGACTGAACTAAGGCTCCCCAGCGTCCGGCGGACGGTGGGATATCAGCGGCTGGAGCCGATCGCCGGTAGCTTCCCGGCGGGACCTAACCCTCTGCGCACCCACCGGCGCGCCCCCCGCCCGAGCCGCGCCGGGCCAGCCGGCGAGGGAGCAGGGCTGATTGGCGGCCGCCGGCGGCCGGGGGAGGGGGCGCCGCGCGGGGCCATGGCAGACTCGGAGGCGTCCTAGCCCGATCCGAGCCGGATCCCTTCCACGCTGCTGCCGCCGCCGCCTCTCCGCGCCCGGGCCCCTGCGGGAGATGGAACAGCGGAACCCGCTCTGCACCCTCGGATACCTGCCGCCGCTGCTGCTGCTGCACGCCCTGCTACTCTTCCTGGCCGACGGTGAGCGCGGGAACTTTGCTGCTGCGGGGGGCTCGGGAGGGTCCTTTGCCAGGGCCGCCGGAGCCCACCTGCCCGGGTCGCGGCCGCGGAGAAGTCGCAAGAAGAGAAGGGCAGGCTTCCGGGTCTCCAGTTAATTCCGTGTGCGGTAGGGAGCCCCGGAGGGATAAAGGGGGGAGGCGATCAGCGAAGGGTCTCTGCATTGGGCAGCGCCCGCACCGGTGGCGTTCGGACTCGGACCGGGGCTACCGCTGCAAAGAGGCGGCTGGAAGGGCAAGGGAGTTGCTGCTCCCCCAGTCTGACTGCAGTAGTGCGGCGGGGCCCCGGGGAAAAGCGAGAGCCACCCGGGTTGCCCGCCCCCCCACCCTAGATCCGGAAGGAAGCCGGCCACAGCCTTAGCCAGCCTCCGTGGTGGCTTGGCAGCTGCTCCGCAGAACTTTGCCGGCGCCTTCGGTCGTGCGCCACCGTATAGCCCAGGGTGGGAAGCCGTTTGGGGACCGACCATCTCGCCTAGGGTTGCCCCAGCCCCCGCCCCACAGCTGGTCACGCCTCTTTCTCCCCCCCTCCCCCTCCATCCCCCCCTAGCTACATTTACCGAAGTCCCCAAAGATGTGACAGTACGAGAGGGAGACGATATCGAAATGCCCTGCGCGTTCCGAGCTAGCGGAGCCACCTCTTATTCCTTGGAGATACAGTGGTGGTACCTCAAGGAGCCGCCCCGGGAGCTGCTGCACGAGCTGGCGCTCAGCGTGCCAGGCGCCCGGAGCAAGGTAACCCGCCGCCCCCGCGGCGCCGCCGCGCAGTCCCGGCTGCTGGGGGAATCCAGGGTGGAACGCAGCCAGGGGGGGAGCGACGCAGGGCGCCGCCCTGTGGCGCAGCCCATCTCCCACCCTCTCCAGCGCACGGCATCTTCAGCAGCAATTCATTGTCCCCATTCTGTCAGTGCGTTCCCTTCTCCCAAACCCCTCACCCCACTCTCCATCTAGACCCTAAAGAGCGGTACCTAATCCAGTTCACCTTCCTCCTCCTCCTCCTCCTCCTTCTGTCTGGCTGCTGGCCCAGAGTCTGACGGGTGCTGGGTGGTGAAGAAAGACCACTAGGTCTGTCTGGGCTTTCCCTACCCCTTGCCACTGAGGTCCTCAGGGCACACAGCCAGGGAGTTAAGCTCCTCCAGGCTGGATTCCAGCAGCCGACAGAGCATCGTGTACAAGAAAAGCCAGCCAGCAGGTCACCTCCAGCCCCCAGAGCGGCAGAGGGGACAGCCTGTGTCTGACAGCCACTATCTTTCTGACTCAACTCGCACTCTTTCATCTGCTCTAGCACAAATATATGCACACCTACCCTACCTCTTCCCAAGGTAACTCCCAGCATCACTACTCAACATTCCTCATGGATCCTGTTTGGACACAGGGTCCTCCTATTCACCGTTTAAGGAGTTTAGACCAACAAAACAGGGAATAAGAATCCTGGGGTGGAGTGAACTAATGGGCCTGGCTTCCCACTCAGGTGACAATCCAGCCTTCGGTCTTGAGCCGTGGGTGTGGTAGAATAGCCCTTCCTTGATCATGGACCATACTAGCACTGAGCCTCGTTTCCTTCTGGGTAAAACTGCTGGAAATCCTGATGTTTCTTCTTGCCCTCAGTCTTGCCACATCGCCAGCAGTTTCCAGTTCCCTGATCACCAGTGAAGGGTCCCCCCTCTTCTGGAGGTGGATCCATGTTTTGTTTCCAAACCTGAAGGCCAAGAGCTTAATGTCTCTCTCTCCCTCTTTGCATTTTAGGTAACAAATAAGGATGCAACTAAAATCAGCGTAAGTGTGGCGCTCAGAGCGGGCCGCGGGAGACCCCTTCTGGCCACTTCGCGCCGCGCAGCTTCCTCTCTCAGAGAAAGGCTCCCAGGGGTCGCGCGATTTAGGGCCCTGCACGAAACTGAGCAATGTTGGCTGTGGCGCGATTGGGCTTGCGCGGGGCGTGTCGGAGCGTGTCTATATTTGGTAGCAAGAGCCGGTTCCCCGTAGTGTAAATCCAGAATATATATCTGAGTCGTCTTCCTCAGTTCAGTCCCGGCTGTCCTTGATGGGAACCGTGTACTTAGACCCAGCGCATCCATCGCCTTTGCAGGAGTTTCTCTGGCACCAGGAGGGCACAGCTCCTTCCCTGGGAGCCACTTTAGTGTTCTAGTTTATGGCTACCACTCCCTGGTCCCTCACACTCTGCACACCTGTGATGCCCTACTCTGTCCTCTCCTGCGTGAACCCCGGTGCTGGGGTGGAGGCGCCGCGGACATCAGTTCTCTCCGAGGAGGATGGAGAGCAATTCTGGAATCCTGAGATTCCTAACTCAAGAGATGCATGCTGTGTATTAAAGTATACCCAGTTGAGGCAAGGGAGGATAGGATTCGGAAGACATTCAGGCTCTCCTCTCTTGAATTGGTACCCCAGGGTAATAAATTAGAGCCACTTGTGGCCCCTTCCCCAAGTCTCCTCCGGGTCACGTGGTACTTGATAGAGGTTGGGATGGGCGGAAAAGAAGGTTCTCAGCATAAATAGCAGGTCAGTAAGTAGCAAGGGAGAGCAAACAGTTAGTTGTGGGGTACTGGGGAGCCAGGGTAGGTGCGTCTGCCCACTGAGTGTTGGGATGCTTTACTGTGCACTAGCTCTGCTGTTCTAGAATCAAGCTTAGTTAAGGCAGACTTGGGGAAAGCCGGCTGGATGCCTAGTCCCAGGGTCCTTGAAGGAAACTCAGAGTAGACGGCAAGCTTCAGATGGTGTGCGCCTATGGGTGCAACAGGAGGCATTAGAAAGACCAGATTTGGCAGCTTTATCTTACTGGGGATTCAGTGAAAGGAAAGGTAGGGAAACCAGACGAGGGAGTGCTGGTTTGCTATGATTAGGGCCCGCCCAGTGCCGCCTCTGATCCAGTCCGTTCTCTTGCAGACGGTGCGCGTCCAGGGCAATGACATTTCGCACCGGCTGCGGCTCTCAGCGGTGCGGCGACAGGACGAGGGAGTGTATGAGTGCAGAGTGTCGGACTACAGCGACGACGATACTCAGGAGCATAAGGCCCAGGCGCTGCTGCGCGTGCTCTCGCGCTTTGCGCCTCCGCACTTGCAGGCAGCCGAGGCCGTGTCCCACATCCAGAGCAGCGGTCCGCGCCGCCACGGCCCCGCCAGCGCCGCCAATGCTAACCACGTGGCTGTCGCCGACCCCGCGGGCCGCAGCACCTCGGAGCCCAGCCAGGGCGACAAGAACCTGCCTCCCCGGAGCCTACCCTCTGCCCGCGGTCCCAGCGTCCTGGACGCCGCCGCTGCCGCTGCCTCTGCCGACCAGGCAGCCACCACCGCTGTCACAGCTGTGGCCGCTGCGTCCTCAGCGTCGCCACCATCAGGCCAGGCTGTTCTCCTGCGCCAAAGGCACGGCTCAGGTAAGGGAGCACAGGGCCCCCTTGGGCCTGTAACTCCAGTGACCCAGGGGTGTGCTTTGCTTTAGCTGCCCGGTCTTCTCTCTCTTCTATTCTTCCTTATCAGCCAGGTTAATGTGGGCCTGCCATGCAGATATCCGGGGACCGAAAGGGGGTCACATAGGACTGGAGAGTGAAGTCCGCTCTTGAGTCTGGAGAAGCAGAGCTTGGAGCTGTCTTCCAGAGAGCAGAGATGTGGGTCTCAGAGAGGACTCACTCAGTGGAGTGCCTACTTTGCATGCAGGAGGCCTGGTTGGAACCCAGACAATGCATCGTCCCCTGGGCACCACAGGGAGTGGTCTCAGCAACCCTGAAGGGGAGCCCAGAAATAGGATGCTATAGGCGTGTTTTTCAAGTCTAGAATGATCCCAGGTACAGGTTCAGGCTTTTCAGAAGCCTGAAGGTTGAGGGTAGGACCCTAAGCATGGTTAGAAGGGCACTCAGAGGTTAAAGCAGGCTTTGCTAGGGAACTGAAGAGGTTCAGGGAGGCAATAAGGGAGCAAAAAAAAAAGAAGGTAAGAAAAATCAGGGCAGGAGGCTCCAAAAAGAAGGGACTGATTGTCCTAGGGCTTACGGATATACATAAAGCTGTGTGTCTGTCCCTTCTTCAGAGTGTCCCCTGTCCCTTCTGCTTGCTCAAGAGTGGACCTCAGAGCTGGACTCAGATCTAGTGATCACTCCCTTTGCCTGATTATAGACAAAATTCCTCTCTCTGAATTCCAGTCCTTGATTTTATTAGGTGCATAGTACTGGGAACGTGAGCCCTGCAGAGTTCCGTGTGGAAGAGGGCACACTCACACCTTACAGTCCTGGTTTTCAAAGTGATGTTCATCTGTGACCAGCATCAGTTTGTTAAGATGTAGGCACTGGAACTATTCTGCTTAAGCAAGGAACGAGTATCCTAGCCTTCCGTTTGCTGAGCCTTACAGCCACAAAGTTGATAACTGCCAATTTATCTCTCACACAAACAGTAAAGTTTTCTCACTTAGTTCTACCCTATAGGGGCTCTCCCATGCTGTTCATGCTCCCTGCTGATTCTCAAGGCCTTCTCTCTCGTAGGCTTCTCAAGGGGAACCACAGCACTTCCCTGGGCTATGGGAGTAAGTGGATCATCTGGTACCCAGGGAGAGATTCTCCAAACAACCTCAAGCTCTTCCACAAGAGTTGGCATTTTAAGTCAACTCATGTTAGTGTGAGATAGCATTAGCTACTCTGACAAACTCCAAATGTTTTGTGGATTAATACAATTATAATATATTCTTTCTGACTCAAGTCAGTCCTCCATTGAGAAGTACGGTGGCTCTGTTTAATACCTTGATACAGGAACCCAAGCTGACAGACTACCTTTAAGCCTCCAAGGTATCTCTGAGCATCCCATAAAACTAAGACTGAAGGGAAAGTGGCGGGAGCAACATGTTTCAACATAGAGCCCTGAAAGACAGAGCACTAATGTTTCAGGCATAATGAACAAGATTTTTTTTATGGGACTACATGTGTTAATCTTGGAAGGTTGATAAAATAGCCTTTTTTCTCAGTTTGGTATTGTAGTTCTTGCAGAGAAGAGTTGATGTAGATAAAAATAAGGGTAGTGTGTAAGGTTCGGGATCCAAGTGATACAGTTATCCCACCCTCGTCTATTAGCCAGAGTTCAGTCATAAGGTCCAATTGACATTCAGGGGAGGCTGGACTACATAGTGGCAGTATGGCAGCTGCATTCAGTATTGTTCCTTTATAAAAGAAGGTGAATCTTTGAAGTATTAGTCATCTTTGTGTAGCACAGTAAATGTGCTAGAAAAGGCTTATTGGTTTGTAGAGTGATTGACTTATTTCATTATTGTTAGTTTTTAAAAAGGCCCTATCCCCATGGATAACAGCAAAGCAACATATATGTTATAGTCTGTAACATTACTGTAGGGTGTTCTGTAAATGTCCCAGGTTCAAAATAGAAGATTTGGAAAGCAGAAGTCCAGACATGAATTATGACTTCACAACTTTGTGAGAGTGTGACTTGCGGCAAGAGATTTACATATCTCATTGTATTTCTTTACCTGAAAAACAGCCATGGTAACCCCTGATCTCAGAGATGTTCAGTATGGAGTTCATTGTTATCTCCATGGTCATTGGATGTTTTGGGCAGTTAGGAGAAATGATGGAAATAAAGCTGATCATTTTACAGTTGAAAGAAAGGTATGGAGGGTCTTGAATATCAGGTGGAGTCAACAGGATTCATTAAAGTCTTTGATTAAGTAAGAGTAATAATGGGATAAATGCATGATAAAGAACATAATATAGAACTTTCGGTGGTGAATATTATGTAGAAATGTACATTTGGTTCTCACTGATGCACACCTGATGACTGAATTTTAATTTTTTTTAAAAGAAACAATGTGAGTTTTCACACAAATGTTACTAAGGTCAAGGTCATGACCTCATTCTTGCTTGAATGTGTCTCTCCCCTGCACCCAACCAAAGCTGATTCCACGCAGCCTGGTTTGCTTGATCAGAACACCAATCCCTATGTCGGCCACAAGGGGGCCTCAATGATCCTCATCAATCCTTATCTGTGGATTGTCAGTGCCCTATTTACAGAAAGATGAGAAGATTTCCTGTCAGCTCAGAGCAGACAGCACAGTGCCAAGCAATTTCCAACAGGTAGGACCTTGGGCACCTGCCAGCCACAAGGTAGCATATTTATCCCTACATTGATCTGAGCAACAGCCTAGCAGGTGGCTTTTCTACTGTCCCTGAAGTAGGCATCCATAAAGTATAACAGGATAGTGCCAGTAAGATAGGGGTGTGGTGACCCCAAAATCCCTTGCCAACTCCTGCATAGGCCAGGAACCATGAAATTTTTTTTATGTAGGAGTACTCCTATTCATGAACCATGAAATTTTATCTCAGAAAGAGCCCTAGGTTTTCTTCAGCTCCACTGGAAAGGCCCAGGAGGGGCGCCTTTAGGTAAAAGATCAGAAGGGCTCTGTCCTCTATTTTTCAGATGGAACACTTGGGAGATTCTCTGGACTGTGAACATATTGAGGTGACATTGAGAAGTGATAGGTGAAATCCAGTCAGATGCCAACAATGACCTTGATCCTGAGCTTAAAAATAATGCTGTTTTAAGTGTCTTTTCACCCACCACCCAAGGCCATCCAGGCTGAGCAGCTGAGTAGATGAAGCCATCAGACTGTAGGGTTTCTCTATGGGAAAGGACATAGTAAATTCCTTTTTGCAGTACCATGTCCTGTGCTTCACTGTCAGCCTCCAGTGGATAGCTCAAAGCCAACATCAGTATGACCTTGGTTGGTCTCCTATCTCATAGTACACAGCAGCTTGGAGGGGTGGCATACAGAAAAGACTTGGTCAATAAAGTTAACACACAAGCATGTCTGAATATTTAGGTGCTGCAGAAGCAAGCAGCATATTCAAACAGGTCATGAGAGTCAATAAAGAATGTTTTTGAAGGGTTAGACAAGCTTAGGGCCAGTCCCTAGGACTAGCAAAAGCAAAAGCCATCAGCACCTCTAGCCTAAAGGCACAAAGGGAGGGAGCAATTCTTAAAACCCATAGAAGTTATGTGTAGAGAACTGTTAGGCAGGAAGTAAGGATGTGGTAGAGGGGCACAGCCAACTCAACGTGGTTGAACTAAAAACTCACCTCCTCTGTCTTAAAGGCTGAAGTTGGCCATACTCCTGAGAGTTGAGGGCAAAGGCACTTGGTTAATGCAGTCATTCAAAGAGTGCAATAAAGTGTGGGGCTAGAAGGCATAGTCAGAGGGAGGAAGATGGAAAAAGCCAAAGCTGAGAGTTGAGTTCCACACCTTTATCTTAGAAATTAAAGAAGTCAGGCTGCTTTTTTTAAAAATTTTTATTAGTAAAACACCATGAGGTACAGTTGTAGACTTACAAATTTTTGTGCTTGGGTTTCAATTATACAAGGATCGAGTACCCATCCCTCCATCAGTGCCCATTTTCCACCATCACGGATCCCAGTATCCCTCCCACCCCTCATGCCCCCCATCACACCACACCTCTGTGGCAGGGCATTCCCTTTTGTTCTCTCTATCCTTTTGGATGCTTTGTTTGCTTTGAGTGGCAATCATATTCGATCTATAGTCTACTTTCAGCATGCATCTCCCATCCTGGGAGGATCCTCCCAACACCTTTATTTGGTGCTCCCTTCCCTATTTGAGCTGCCTTTTCCCCAAGCATGTACGGCTGGCCTCCAAGCCATGGAGTGAACCTCCTGGTACTCCTGCTATTCTTGGGTATTAGTCTCCTATTTTGTTACTTTATGTTCCCCAGATGAATGCAATCTTTCTATGTCTGTCCCTCTCTTTCAGTCAGCCTGCTTTAAGTAGACAATTTCCCATGGTGACTTCAGGGATGGTTCCAAGCAGCCCATCTCTTCAATCATTTATTAAGCAATTGAGCAAAATTATCACAAGTCTTGGATATGGGTGAACTGCTCAAGTTCTTCAACAGCCATCCATCATGCCAGGAAAGAGGGTGGGGTGGGCACTAATTCTTACCTTTCTTCAGCAGCTGCACAGGTGGGCCCGAAAACCCTCCCAGTGACCACATATGCCTGGCATAGCCATCTACCTACTTGCACTAAAAATTATATGCAAAAACTCATTTGTTTCATGTCTCATTTGTCAAGAGACATTTTGATATTTGTGCTTAAAAATAACTGAATTAGCATAGCATGGCGCAGGAGTGAGGTCCTTCTTAGCCGCGTTAGTAAATCTGACTCCTAATTAATCTGAATGCTGACCTATTTTTGTAATGAATATTTTGTTGCTGGTTTTCATTTCTAGAGGATGAGAGAGAGAGAGAGAGAGAGAATGAACAAAAACACTATCTTCCAGACAAATAACTCTGAACTAGAAAAGCTTTGTGGTGAAGATTGAAAAGAATATTATTTGCTAGTGAATGGTTTGCATGTTGGTGAGAGGTTTCCCTCTA